ATCCAAGAGACAAGTAGAAGATTTAGACTTTGAAAATAAAGTCAGTTGATCAAGGTTGATGGAAGAGAAGGCATCCAAACAGGCATCAGGGCCCACTGCTGCATCCAAGGTTCCTACATCGGAGGACAGGTCGGCACTGGTTGAGGGCAGGAGACCATCAATTTTCTCTTTGATAGTCAGAATCTTATCATTGAAGAAGTTCATGAAGTCATTACTAGTGAGGTCCAAAGGAATACACGGCTCGACAGAGCTGTGACTCTCTGTCAGTCGGGCTACAGTGCTGAAGAGAAACCTGGAGTTGTTTTTATTTTTCTCTATTAATGATGAGTAATAAGATGCTCTTGCGTTACGGAGAGCCTTCTTATACGTTTTAAGGCTGTCTTGCCAAATTAGCCTAGATCCTTCTGATTTGGTGGAACGCCATAATCGTTCAAGTTTCCGCACAGTTTGCTTTAGGTTCCGTGTTTGAGGGTTATACCACGGAGCAGACTTCCTTCTTGTTGCTATTCTTCTTTCCATAGGAGCAATAGCATCCAGCGCCACTCTCAAAGAGCCTGTAGCAGTATCGACAAAATTATCGATCTGGGACGGACTGAGGTTCTCACAGGAGTCTTCTTGTATCTTGAGGCAGGCCTCAAGTTGAAAAATAGTTTTTATGTTGCTTCTCCATACATCTTGTTGCTCACATGCAGTGGCGTAATGGATGGGACAATCACGTTCTGTATGGAAATCTGAGTAAAAATTTGATTTGTTTTTCATTTTTTGCACTCTATATAGCGATTGTGTGTTGTTGGCCTTGATTCAGCGCGTACAGGCTTAAGTGAAACCAGGGAGAAAAGGCGGTTGATCCTGTGAAAGCTTGTGATAACAAAGACATATAACCGTGGTGCCAGAGTACTGTTCAAGATCAGTGGGCGTTAGTGATACTCTGCAGAAAATGAAATGGGGCCCCGACAAATCCTCTCAATCAACTGTGCAATCAAAAGATAACCATAATACCACTTTCTCTACAATATCACTTTCTCACAATGTTTCATTGCATGATTGGTTCATGCAGTTCACCTTGGCCAGTTGATCTTGTTGTTTCTGTGTGTTGTGTATCATTTCCTTTGAAAAAACAAAATTCTTCAGATTGCTTTTGTGGTCTCCAGATGGTATGTTGACAATAAACAATTTTTAAAAATCCAGAGGATATTGCATTAAACCAACAATATTTGAGGAATACGATGTTAAATCACACTTTACCTTTTGACTTACTAGATGGAGAATACTGTTAGCACTGTAAGCAAGTTTGTGTTGGAGAATTGTGCAGTGTGAACATAATTCCGACAAATACCTGCCTCTTAACTTTGAGAACTCAACCAAAGAAAGACTCAAATGGCTTCACGTTATGGCGAATGTTAAACACAGGAAAGCTTCTTTGGCATGAGGAGCAGGTGCAACAGTTAAATCCTTTTTGAACGTTAACTAAAAAGTTTGAAATAGGTTGTTTGCAAGGCAATGCTACAAATTGCCATCTTAACACATTACAAGAATGAAATCAACTATTTACTGGAATAATTCCAATAAGACTGTACTAGAGTGTTTGCATTTTTAAAGTATCAAAGTCTGACAGGTACAAAGTGTACAGTACTTGTAAAACCTAATGTATGTAAAATAGAGAACATCATTATACCACCCTTGAGAGCATCAACATATTTATTTTCAGGTTACTCTTAAAACACAATATTGCTTCTGCATGATGATATGACTATTAAGGAAATGCTTCTGCCTGCTATATAACGAAGAGCCTCTAGAAATAATTCACATTCCTCAGATTCCTCAATTTACTAGTGGGGGATTTATCTTGCTGAAGGCAGACTCACCTCTATTACATATCTCCCTGAAGGGTGTAAGCGCCGGATGTTCTGTGAATGTTCACATAAATCATTGTCATTATGTTGAATATTACTGAATAAATAAGTAGATGACAAATGTAATAAATATGAATTATTATGAATCATTTAAAGAATACCACCTAAAATCTGTTAAAATGTTTTTTTTGTTTGCTGGATTGACTTGATTATTTAAAAAAAGATATGAACATATTAAAATGATATATTGCTTAAAACTGTCAAGATATTATTCATTATCTATATTGGTGAGACACGCTGGCCTGCATGGGCTGTACCATTTATCTTTTAAGGCAGTGGTCCCCAACCTTTTTTACCTCACGGACCGTTTTCATGTCAGACAATATTTCGCGGACCGGTCGAGAAGGTCCGACGGGGGGGGGGGGTAGTCGCGCGCTCTGTGTTCGCTGGTCGGCGAAACTGCCGTGCACGGTAAAAGGACAAGAAAAACGCCTGGTGACGTGTGGGGAATATGCCAGAGGGACGACCGCACATAATTAGGAGAACATTTTCAAAATAAAACTTTTTTCAGAAAAAAAAATATATATAAGCTTTCTGTGGTGCGGCCCGGTACCAAACGGCCCGGTGGTTGGGGACAACTGTTTTAAGGCATACTGATACTAATGCAGTACTTCTATTGATATATCATGTGAATGGATTCTGTCTGTGTAATGGTTAGCTAATTGCTACTGCACTGCATAGCAATAATGACGAGGTAAATGCTGAGTGCGATATTCACACCCACTTCGGTCAAATTGTTATCTACGGGTTAAAGCTCTGTCAGCATCTTTTTAAATATACCAATGCCGAGACATAGTGCTGATGAGTTTTTCTTTCACATTTCCACTTCTAACAGAAGTCAAGATGGTTCCTGATTTAGGGGTCTAACTGCTTGATTGCCATGTCCTGCATTGTAAACAAGTGTTACTGAAAAAAATAATATTTAAATTTCCAAAGCAAGCTTTGATGCTCTCATCTTCAACTGCTTATCCGGGGTCGGGTTGCAGGGACACCTGCTATAGCAGGGGACCCCAAACTTCCCTTTCCCAAGGCGTTCCCAGTCCAGGGTGAAGATACAGGCTGGATTCAAATTGTGCCTGCCCCGGGGCCTCTTCCCAGCTGGCTGTGCCTGAAAACCTCCCTATGGAGGCGCCATGGGGCATCCTCACCAGATGCCCAAACCACGTCAACTGGGTCCTTTACACTCCGAGCTCCCCACGGCTGGCTGAGCTTCTCTTCTCTTCTCTAAGGGAGACGTCAACTGCCCTCGTGCGGAAATCCATTTTGGCTGCTTGGACCAACAACCAGGTTTCTTTCGGTCATGGCCCATCCTCCATGACCATAGGTGAGGGTAGAAACAAAGATGGGTTAGGACACTTTCCCTACCCACTTGTGGCGTACAGGCCTTGGATGGCCTCAAGAAGGGTCCCCCTCACCCCATACTCCCGCAGCACCTCTCGAGGAACCCAGTCACAGGCCTTGTCCAGGGCCACAATACACATGTAGACCTGGTGAGCAGACTGCCAGGCCACCTCAATTTACATTGCAGAGTAAAGAGCAAAGTAGAGAGCTGGTTTGTTGTGCCACAACCACGATCCACATTGTTCCTCTTCAATCTGTGGTTAGACTATCGCCTGAACCCTCCTTTCCACCACCTTGGAGTCGACTTTACCAGGGAGTCGGAGTGTAATGTGCACACTCTCTGGTGCCCCTTTTTGAAGAAAGAACCACTACCCTGGTCTGACAGGCACTGTCCCAGGCTTGCATGCAATGTTGAAGAGGCGTGTCATCCAAGACAACCCCCCAACACACATTGCCTTCAGCATCTCTGGATGGATCTCATCAATCCCCAAGCCTTTGCCACTGTGTTGTTTGACAACATTAGTGACTTCAACCAGGCAAATTGAGTATGATTCTTTCTCAGCCTCCAGTTTGAGAGTTCCTCAAAAGGGCTACTTCCACCTGCAAATAACCTCCTCTGTTGAAGTCAACAGGGTCCCGTCCTTACTGTACACAGCTAGGATGATTCCTATATACCTTTATTGCTCTCATTGGCGAGGTAAAAGTATAATTCCCTTGTTTACATATGTTGTTGGAATGAGAGCAGCTCAATGTTCATAGCGTGTGTGTTGTTAAGCGACAGAGCGCGAGAGAGAGTGATAGTGGACGCACACATTAAATGTTAAATGTTCAGTTAAGTGACACAATCAAACAACCAAACAATGAGTGATAACAGAATCTGCCATTCCCCCAGATGGCAAGATTAAGCCACGCATGCCTAAGGATGGCACACAGTATATCATGTGACGGAACCTCAAAACAGCACAGAGTCCCTGAAATAGCAGAACAAACTGCTTTACTCTTCGCCTCAGAGTGTTGCATCAAAAGGATCTTTCAGGAAATTTGTTTGGAAACTCCACCGGAAAGCTGATACTCTTGACTGTCAGTCTGAAAAATGACGAGCCAAATGGTGAAAGATACTTTCAAATATCTCCTTTTGAGCGGTTCTGTCTTGATTCAGCTTAGATTGGCTTTAATGACACGAGGGAGAGCAGGCAGCTGATCCACTGCAAGCAAGTGATAACAAAGACAAACAGCCAGCTTTGGCACCAATGAAATCACAGATCACAGTCCTATGACGATCAGTGCACGTTTGACAACTGACAAAATCCTAATTAATCACTTGTGCAATCAAGTGATGGTGATTAAATCAATTTTTCTGGGACGTTATCTGTGTGACTCCATCTTTTGCTAACTCTAATGTCTGTTAGTGGTTCTGTATGTGTACATGCGCATGTGTGGCTCTGTTACGAGCCGGTTTAGGTTCTCTGGGAAACAATGCAAGGCATGCCATGTGAATGTTCCATTTTCCCACTGCAAAGTGGTTTAAACACAACATAATCCCTCTGAAGGCCTAAGCTTACAAGCTAAATCTACATTTTCTGACTTTGAAAATGCAAATAGGCTACATTGTGAATGTTCAAGTTTCTTCAAATAAAGTCATATTTGCCATGACCGAATTATTTAAGTCGCCAAAAAAATTGTAAGTGAGGCCCCAGTTTCATTCACATTTTGCAAACAAGAATTAGAAAACACTTCAAGGCCTCCTTTAAAAGAAAAAAAAACAGCATTTATTGTATGAATATCTTTCCTACAACAAATTGAATACATTATCTTATCTGCATTTGGCAGTTATACAATTAATTATAATTATCAATCATACAAGAAACAATATGAGAACAACTCAACTGCTTAAAAGTGCATATTGTGTTTTCTACATGGGGCCACTTTTAAGTGTTTTTGCCATCGTATGCAATTTAGAAATATTAAATAATGTGAAATTTGCATTTCAAAAATGAGAACCGTAAAGAAAAAAACAAAACAGATATCAGCCTTTTTTGCACGCCAAGCGAAGAAAAAGTGATATATAGAAGCATTAAGATTAACTTTTCACTGGAGCCCCAGCAGAACCAACAACGTGGGGTTAATCAAAACCCCACACTTTTTCTACAGGTTTCTATTACATTGGGGACATATAATGCATGGTGTTTAAAAAAAGGCATTTGCCAAGTACGTTTTGACCATTAGCCGTGCATTTTGATTCTGAGCCAGAAATAGGACTGCACCTATTGCCAGTGGTGCTATGACGATAGCTTTGGTTGTGGAGAAGTACGTGAGTTGAAACGTTGGTGTTTGCTCGACAGGATCCTTAACGGTTAAACTGTGCTGAACTGCTTCCTGCTCCTCCTGGGTCAGGGTCAGGGGGTAGAGTTCGGCCAGCACTTCCAGAGCTGCTCGCTGACCAGCTTGTACTGCACCACTCATGTACCCACACCACAGGGTGGCGGTCTCTGTGCCTGCCCAGTGGATCCTGTAAATGAACGGAGATAGTGAGCCAAATACTGAACAAAAAGCCCTATGTTGCTATTTGAAAGAAACAAATATTCAGCCCATAGATGTAAATCTGTTGACACCATGTCTCTGTTCACTGACATTTGCCATTACATTCTTTCCAAGAGAAAAGTTGTTGCACCTGACTGGGGGAGTCTCACACTAAAAAAAGAATAGAACAGGTCCATAAAGGTCAGCCCACCTTACACAAACCTGAAGGGTTGTCGTTGGTGCTTTCAGTTCTTCAGGACAGCCTGAACCATGTACTGCATTGCTAAATTCATGCGTTTAATATTACTCCCAACTTCATGCTTACTGTCGGTCACAGATTACTTTGCCCTGTCTTTCAAGAGAGCGCGATAATGTTAAACACAGCCTGAGCACTAATGCTTCTTTCAGCAGTTTGCTAGTTGTATAACAGATTATCTTGAAACTGCTGCTACTTCTCATCCACCTCTGCTCCATGTAATGAAAACAAAGTTAAAAACTGCCTTTAAGCCACATCAATTCATTTGAAAGCCACGCTAGTTTGTTGTCATTGTCAATCCACAGCCATAGAGTTGTACATACTGCTGTCACAGCAGAGCTGAAGCAAGCACTACAAATAAAACATTGGTAACATAAATAAGAATAAGAATACAGCAAGTCTTTGGAGACAGTAATACCGGTTTACGGAGGGAAGCTAAACCTCTGAGGTATCTGGTTAAAAACAAATGATTCTATTCTTTTACATCTGTATTCCTTGTTTGAAAGATAGCGTACACATGTAGTAGATCATAAGTCATGTATTTACTGGCCCATGATCATAATGTACTACTATACCAGGTCTCACCCTTCTGAATGCACATCAATTAGAAGGTATGCAGATGCACTCCACTCCTGAACATTTAATCTGGCCAAGAAGCATACTTTGGACTCAATGTACCCACTTCTCGAGTGCCCTGAGCTTCACGTGATATGCAAAACACAGACCGCATGGACATTATTTGCTTTCCATTATGCCTACATTCCATCGTAACTTAAATGTATTTTTTACAGTGATGAAAAAATAAATAGTTTTAAAAATGTCCAATTTCTGATTTGTACCCTCTACCTGGTCCTAAAAAATTAATTTGATGAAGTTGCCTGACGTCACCCCTGTCACGAACGCCTCCTCGTGAGTTCTGCTGGTGGGAGGAGCTTCAGTGCCGGGGGTTTACACACCTGCGCCTCATCACAGATTAACAACTGTATAAAGAGGAGGACCTGACCCCCCAGTCCCCGCCGGATTGTTAACTCACTTTTGTGCATGGATAGCCCCTGTACGCTTTTTGGATCTGGCTGTCTACACTGTACACGATTCTGACTCCGCTTTTTTCTGCCCGCAGAGTTGCCACCACGCCCCGGTCCTGACCAGCCGGCCTCCTCACTCCTCACTGTGTTTTTGCTGAATAAACAACCATTTGTCACCACCATTCTCCAGTCCCGGTCTGCTTTTGGGTTCCTTCACAAATTCTGACCATCATCCGGCCATCATGGACCCAGCAGATCTGGACGCCGTTCGCAACGCGGTTTTAGCCCAGGGAGCCTTGTTGGGCCAGCAACAGTACATTACAGTACCGCGCTAGTGGACATTATGGGCAGCCTGCAAAGCCTCTCGGTCAGCATGTCAGCAATACAAGATCGACTAAGTACCCCAGCCACACCTATCACAGCTGCGCCATCACCTGCAGCGTCTAATGAGTCCGATTCGGTGCCCTACTGCAAACCCAAGGTCCCAACCCCCGAGAGTTATGATGGGAATTTAGGAGAGTGTCGCTCCTTTTTGATGCAATGTGGGTAGGTTTTTGATCAACAGCTCCGTACATACTTCACAATCAAGTCGCGGATTGCTTATGTGTTTGGACTTCTGCGGGGAAAAGCCTGGGAATGGGCTACTGCGTTATGGGAACGACAGCACTCAACGGTAAACATCTACAGAGACTTCACAGCCGAGATGAGAAAGCTGAGGTAAGGACCCGGTCCGAGGTAAGGACGCCTCCGCTAGACTGATTTTATTATGTCAGGGAACACGCAGCGTAACTGACTACACCATCGAGTTTCGCACTCTAGCATTGGAGAGCGGCTGGGACGAGGAGGCCCTACAAGCAGTGTACGGTCATGGAATAAGTGACACAATAAAGGATGAGTTGATATCATACCCTGAATGTAATTGCCTAGAGCAGGGGTCTCAAACTCAAGTCAGGTACGGGCCAGATGCAGCCCACCTCGACCGAACGCGGGCCAGACCATTATGGCCGACGGGGGGGATGACACTGACGGTCCGACCGGCGAACGGAACGGTCGGCGCTGGGGTGGAGGTTGTAAGTGGCTGCTAACAGCGAGGTTGCTACAATATGGAACTCGCGGGCCGCACTAACATTACACTTTCATATGAAGGCGGGGGCCGCAATTGGCCCGCGGGCCGCGAGTTTGAGACCCCTGGCCTAGAGGATCTGATCGCGTTGGCCATTCGGGTGGCTAACCGGGGTCGGGAGAGGAAGAGAGAGAGACAGCGGGGCATTTTTTCGGCCCACAGTCGTAACACGCTGGGAAGGAGCGGCCAGCAACGCGTATTCAGCAACTCGGACGGTGTCAGCTAGAGGAGGAAGACCAGCGCCGGAGAGACAGCAACAGCTGTCTATATTGTGGTCATTCTGGACATTACATCGCCACCTGTCCTAAGCGGCCGGGAAACCGGCAGGCTCGCTAGACGGAGGGAGGAGACTGGAGGGAGGAGACTAGAGGGCCTAACTACTGTTTTTTCCTGTTCCTGTTCCCGTTCCCGTAACCTGTTTCATGTCACCCTCTACATCAAAGGTCAGTGTCTGCAATTCCAGACGTTAATTGATTCTGGGGCTGATGACAGCTTTATAGATTCTGAGTTGGTGGAACAGCCGGGGCTCTCCACAGAAGAGTTGAAGGAGGCCATTGAAGCAACCACCTTAGACGGCAGATTACTGGCCAAAGTCACCACCAGAACTGAGCCCGTCCGTTTACTGTTATCAGGTAACCACTCTGAAGACTTGTGTTTTTTGCTTATCAGTTCACCTCACATCCCCCTGATCCTGTGCCACACCTGGCTGGTAAGGTAGGATCATCAATTGGAGTTCAGCATGCCATGCCAATTGTCTTCTGTCTGTCTGTTCTCAGTCTGTGTGTGGCCAAGAGACCGTCGATCAACCTCCCAATCTTACACCGGTTCCTGCTGTCTATCACAACCTTGGTGAGGTGTTTAATAAACAACGTGCACTCTCACTACCCCCTCATCGTCTTTATGATTGTGCCATTGAATTGATACCGGGCAGCACTGGAGTCAGGCTTCTTCTTTGTGGGAAAGAAGGACGGCACCCTGACGCCCTGTATTGATTTTCGAGGACTCAACAACATCACAATCAAGAATAAGTACCCTCTTCTCCTTATGAACACCGCGTTTGACTCCGTTCAGGAATCCACCTTTTTCACAAAACTGGACCTCCGCAACGCATATCACCTGGTAAGGATAAGGGAAGGTGACGAGTGGCTCACGGGATTTAACACGGCGATGGGTCATTTTGAGTATTTGGTGATGCCATTCGGTCTCACCAATGCTCCCGCAGTTTTTCAATGCCTGGTCAATGACGTACTTAGGGACATGATTAGATGTTTTGTGTTTGTTTATTTAGATGATATTCTAATATTTTCCAAAGACCCCTCTGAGCATGTACGCCAGGTGCTCCAGCGGTTACTGGAGAAATCGCCAAGCCAGGTGGGCCCTGTTTTTCGGTAAATTCCGGTTGTCCCTTACCTACAGGCCTGGCTCCCAGAACCATAAACCAGATGCCCTGTCTCGAATATTCGCCAAGGAGGAGGGGGCCTGTGCCCAGCCAGACACGATTGTGCCCAGGACTTGTGTGGTGGGAGCTGTCTTGTGGAGAGTTGAAGAGGAGGTAAAGGCTGCTCTCCTAAACAACCCCGGCCCAGGTAACGGCCTGCCGGGTCGTCTTTTCGTTTCAGACCCAGTCAGATCGACAGTACTAAAGTGGGCACACGCTTCCAAGCTGACATGCTATCCAGGGCTGGCTCAGAAGGTCAGAAGGTGTTTTTGGTGGCCGTCTATGTGGGAAGATGCCAAGTCCTATGTCTCCGCCTGTCCCGTCTGCGTCCAAAGCAAGGTTTCCAACCGACCCAGTCCTGGGCTGCTACGTCCCCTGCCCATGCTTCTACGTCCCTGGTCTCATCTGGCATTGGATTTTGTCACCGGGTTGCGTCCCTCTGAAGGTAATACAGTTGTACTCACCATAGTGGACCGTTTTAGTAAATTTGTGCGTTTCCTGCCTCTGCCCAAGCTCCCCTCAGCGAAAGAGACCGCAGCAGTGCTGGTCAAGGAGATCTTCTGTATCCACTGCCTACCCAAGGACATAGTGTCTGACCGGGGACCGCAGTTCACTTCAGCGGTGTGGAGGGCGTTCTGCATGGCCGTGAGTGCCACAGTCAGTCTCTCCTCTGGATTCCACCCTCAGACAAATGGCCAGGCAGAAAGAGCCAATCGGACACTAGAGACTACACTGCTATGTTTAGTCTCTTCCAACCGTCGGCGCACGCCTGCCCCAGCCTATTCCGTGGGTGACAAGGTATGGCTTTCCACTAAGAACCTGCCATTGAATACCGAATCACAGAAGCTGTCCCAGAGGTACATCGGGCCATTTGTGGTGAAGCGGGACATCAACCCTGCGGTGGTCCGGTTCAAGCTGCCTCAAACTCTCGGGGTCCACCCAGCCTTTCACGTTTCCTGCCTGAAACCGGTTCTGCTCAGTCCCTTGCTTCCTCCTCCTTGAATCATTGACGGGGGTCCCGTATATACAGTACGGCGGATTATGGACTCCCGCTGTCTGGGTCGGGGGTTCCAGTTTCTTGTGGACTGGGCGGGTTATGGACCTGAGGAGAGGTGCTGGATTCCCCAGAGTCAAATTCTAGACGCGG